ATCTGATTGCTAGCATACGAAACTAAAAAATGATTTCATGAGGAAATCATCTGAGAAGTGAAGCAAAGTGCTACTTATCTGTGTGAAGTGCTTCTAAGAAAAGTCACTGTATCACAGATTTATTTCTAGGAAAAGGCCTCGTGGTGTTCGGGCTGAAAAAGGTCTGAGACATCCTTCGTTCTCGGAGGGACTTGCTGCGGTTGCTATAGAGATTTTCATCATGGTGACAGGTGAGACCGGTCCTCTTCTGTTAGGATGATGAGCTGTGCTGTGTGTGTGCGTGCATGTGTGAAAGTGCTTTCCCGCTATGAGGCATACATTATTATAGCTATGCGTTACCCTTTTTTACCCTTCATGTACTGTAGGTTCTGTTCTGATGGAGAAACATCTTTAATCTAACATATTAAATCAGCATTTTGATCAATTAGCTTGGCACAAAGATATTTGAAAGATGATATGACAGTTCAAATGAACACTAGAAAACTTCAGAGTGTGCATGAGAAATAAAAACACTTAAAAATATAAAGATTTTAATAAAATGAGTAAATTGAAATGATTGAAATAAAAATTTAAATTGGTCATCACATTTCAGCTACAACAGACTTGCTGATCGCTTGATTCCTTAAATAAAATAAATAAGTGCATACTTGTTTACAAATTGACTTAATAACCAAAAGCTCCCTGGTTCACTTTGGGCTTGTGTCGGGACATTCAGCATGAAAATCTCAGCTTTAATCGCAGGATGCATATTAAACGCTGGCTTCCTACTCAGTTACATATTTTTACATGTACATTTTACATGACATACTTGGCATTTCAAAGACTCTCATTTAATAAAATGTGTGTTTAACTCTTTCATTAGCTAAAAAAAAATTTCCCTATCTTAATCAGTCTGAGAGAGGTTTAATACTTTGGTGTTAAATCTAGGTCATAACTGCAAACCCCTACACTGGCATACTCTCTGAAAATACGCAGCAAAGTACAGTTATGCAGTCTGCAACTACTGTGATTGACCTGTTCAGTCCTGTTGATTCCTCCTGTGCATTTCTGGGTATTTTCTCATCACAGTTTTTGAACTTATCAGTGAAAGAATAACAACAGCAGCATCGCTGTTGTCAGCAATTTCCTGGAAGGGGATTGTCGAAACTATTGGACGTGCGGGAATGTAAAAAAGAAATCGACAAATGTGTTTTTCTGGAAAAAAATGACCACAACAGGGATTGGGAACTAAGGAGGGGACACTGGGACACGACAACAACAGCCACTATTTGCATTTCTGTATGTGATTGCACCTCTGGAAGTAGTTTGCAGCACTGTGGGACCTGTGTTTACTACTAAACTACTCTTTGTTCTTTCTCCCTTATTACACCTTTATTACACCATATTACACACCATAGGTTTGTGTAATCTGACTATGACCATGTAAACACACCATCTGAAGCAACTGAGAGCTTTTTTTCTCTGTAAAGGCAGTTCACTTCACTTCAGAGTCGCCTGGAGCACGAAAATGACGACTATCAGGTTTTAGCAACACCTGCAACTGTTTTCTTTTTAGAAACAAACGCTCTGGTTGTTTTCTCTGAGCACATGACCCTGGAGCTCATTTGAATGCCTGCTTTCCCTGTGCAAATTATTGCTGGTTCACGTTCTGAGACATCCAGGCTGTGTTTGTCTAGTTCTGAGCGCTTACATGGTTCTTAATTACCCAAAACGACACAAACCACAACACTGATAGCTCCTGACACACCCTGCACACATGTCACTATTTCTGCTGCATATAAGCGCATCCTCTCCTGCTAAACAAATATATTTTTAAATTACCATGCGTCACCTCCAGTAAATTTAAATAATATTTCCATAAAGATGTAAAGGAAATAACACCACATTAAACGCAGACTCGTTGTAAAGCTCCAGACACACACTTACCTGAAGCGCTCCTGACCAGCGGTGTCCCAGATCTGCAGCTTGATCCTCTTGCCCGGCTCGATCTCCACCAGGCGGGAGAAGAAGTCCACCCCGACGGTCGGGTCGGACACTTGGGCGAAGCGACCCTCCGTGAACCGCCGGATCAGACATGACTTTCCCACCGTGGAGTCCCCGATGACGATCAGCCGGAACTGATAGAGCCATATTGCCTCCATGACTTGGCTTGGTCTGCAGCTCTCCCCGGTGCGCTTGTAAGTGTTGGTCTACTTGCTGTGGTACGAGCTGTTGGTGCACAAACATGAGAGAGAGACAGAGGGAGGGAGAGAGAGAGGGAGGGAGGGAGGAGGCGAGGGAAGAGAGGAATCAACAAACAACATTAGATTGTTTGTTTAAGTGCACATCTTACTGTTCCTCTTGGTTTAAGCGTGGTTGTTTCTTTGCAAACCAAATGCTACCATCTGACACTTCACTTCCTGTTCTTTGAGCTGCAATGTCCAAGCTCCCACAGGGTGACAAAATAATGAGCTTTGGAGGGTTTTTTGCAGACCAGCCTGGATACTTAGAAATACCCAGGCTCCCTTGATGAAAAGTCGATGGGATTTTTGGGGATAATCACAAGAAATAATCACTAAAATTAATAAAAGGTTGCGATATTTACAAGTCTCATTCTGCAGGATTATCTTCACAAACTCACACAGCTATAATTTTTGAAGCCTTAATCCAAGCGCAGGAAGTAAGATGACTTTTACTTTTAACATGTCTTCAACAGCTTCTGTGGCCACATATGTGGTGTTTTTTTTATTGTTCATTTGTAGACTTTTTATATTATAACCTGGTATTTTTCACTTTCCACGGTTAATATGAACAAACTCAAGAGGATTGTAAACATCTGTTTTAAGATTGCAGGCCCAGAAACATGTTTCTGGGCTTTAGGGCTCATTTCTGCAGCACTGAGTGAGAGGCAATGAGCACATAAGATAAGATTAGATGAGAAACAGCAGAGTGGACAGAGCAGGAATAAACAAATAGAAACATAAGCTAACAATATCAATACTGTTGATATAACCAACTGCTTTGATTGGACAGATTTTTCTTGCAGCTATAATTAAACCAGTCACAGGTAACTAACTACATTTAAGTTCTTCAGTTATAGATGGAGTTTTGAAATGTGCCCAATGTTTCCAATAGTTCGTGTGACTTTATTTTGACTCCTCTACCTTTCAAATGTAATTATCTGCTCTTTGCTCCATGCCACTTCTCATACAAAATAATTCTTCGATCCAAATTCGATTCTGATTGCTACGCAATAACAAATACCACTCTAAACAGGTGCTGACATGTTAAAGCATGTCTTAAAATAATATAATAAATATATTAATGTAACAATCTCACTACTAAAGGGACCAAAGGGTGTCAAGAAAACATCCAGCACACCATTACATCACCATCATCCAAAACTGGTGATCCAAGCTGTGATGGATCCATACTTTCATGTCGTCTGCACCAAACTCTGACCTTATTATTTGAATGTCAAAGCATAAAAATGAAGACACAACGCAGAGAACATCTTTTCAATCTTCTATTGTCCCCGCCGTCTGTTGTTTGTGTGACTGTGTGAATTTCAGCCTCAGTTTTCTGCACTTAGCTGTAAGGAGTGACATCCAATGTGGTCTTCTGCTGCTGTAGACCATTCAGAGAAGCTTTTCTGCTTGCGTGTGGTTATTTGAGCATTCTGATCATTCTCCTCTGACCAACAAGGCATTTCCACGCAGACAACTGCCGCTGCTCTGTAAACCCTAAAGATGGCTGTGTGGGAAAATCCCAGCAGTTTCTGAAATACTCAAACATCAGGCACGAGCAACACCACCGTGTTCAAAGTCGCTTAAATCCCCTTTCTTTCTCTTTCTGATGCTCAGTCTGACCTTCGGCCGGTTGTCTTGACCACGTCTACATGCTTGAATGCACTGAGCTGCTGCTGGTTAGATATTCTTGTTAATGTGCCAGTTGAACAGGTATATATTTACTCATGCATATTCTGCACATGGTATACGACATTAAATACATCAGATCATTAAGGGTTTGCAGAAAAATGTAAACTGAAATAGTAATTCAATTCTGAACTATGTTTATTTAGTCCATTCAGCTCAGTGTTTTCTCTTTTAAGAGGCAAAACGTCTCCTGAAATATGTGACTTAAGGGATTTGATAACATAAGCTATGCTGCTCTCTGTACAGCAGCCCTGTCCCCTACAGATCCTCACAATACAGCTGTTCCCGACCAGGCCATCAGGCGAGCACGCGGCCTCCCATCACCCCATGCGCGTCTCTGTGGAGTCAGGTTGCGTAGCTCGGGAGGTATGCAAACATTAGAGGCTGAATCCCTGCTGAATAGCAGCCTGATGGGCTCTCGCGCCGGGATGGGCAGCTCGTGGGTTCGACACGACACGCAGGGTTTCACATATCCAGCATTTACAGATGGCTGCGGTTCAGACTGACATGATTACATGCGTAGGGGGGTGGGGGTTGTTATTGATCCCTTTGCTTCATTTATTTATTTGCGTGTTTGAGGTGAGTTTGTGCGCAAAATCACGACTTATCATCGATTTGATGTTGTTTATCAAACAACAGACAACGATGTTTCTTCCAAAGGCGACTTTTCTTGCTATTATGAATTTCAATCACATCCATGCAAAGCAATCTAAAGGCCTGGAAATAGTCATTTCGGTTTAATCAGCCATCGCCTTTATCGCGACACCACAAAGACACGGAGATAAAACAGTAGAGGAAAACAGCCTACTTGGAGCAGCAGTGGAGTGCTTCGGGACAGAATGGTCGCTCTTGTCACGCTGTTCAGGCTGCTGAGGGCTCCATGATACAGGCTAGTCCGGGGGATCGATGCTCAGGGAGCCGCAAAAACAACCCAAAAGCGGCGAAACCTCGATGTTTGTGTGGAAGCTGGATCACAGAGGCTGGTGAGCGGCAGGCCCCTGAGGACTCAGGGCTGACTTCCTCCTTAATGTCAGGCCCGATTGAGTGCTGAAAGGAGAAAAACGCATCCAAGTGCAGGTGCGACCAGAAAAAAGGGATCTTGCGCTTTCGCTCGGAGCCGCGAATAAACTGCGAGCAGGCCTCTGTACTCTGTTTCGAGCCTCCGAGCTGAGAGGATGTCTACGAGGCTGTGAGAGGGAAATCCCGCGGTATCGTTTCTGTGTTTGCTCGGGGTTTGGAGGCTTTCGCTGCTGATGAAATGGCAGCAGCATCATATAGCCTGACTCATCCCGCATCAGTACCACTACCGTAAAGGAGCGCGCAGAGGCGCAACACCGGGAGGCGGCACGGCTTTTAGAGGGGAGGGCACATAACAGTAAACCTCCATGTATCATAATATTAACGCCCAGAAGCTGCATTATGCCTCTGTAAGAGAGCATCCTACTTATATGTAGGGAAACTGGATTTATGTACTGTAACGGTCTGCTGACGTCATCAAAGTAACGGTAATAAAACACACAAAGACTAATTTTATTTGCACAGTTTAAAGACCAAAAAAAACCCTGAATATTGAAAAAACTTACAGAAGTTAGTTTCTCTAACAACATTTTGACCCAAAAGTCAAAATGTTTGGTTGTTAGATCGTAATTGTGAGGAAATTAACTGAAAATATGACTTATGGATGAGGAAAAACAAACAATACTGTGAGTATTTTCATTATTATTATTAATAATTTATTTGTTTATTGAAGAAAATTGCCACCAGATGGAAGCTGCACACTCACTGCGCTGTCTATGCGCCACTGCGCAGTCACGGAACAGCCTGTGAGAAGCTCCAGCACCTGGGAGTTGTAGTTTTAAGCAATAACAAATAGAACGCCCTCTCTCTCGGTGTGTGTGTGTGTGTGTGTGTGTGTGTGTGTGTGTGTGTGTGTGTGTGTGTGTGTGTG